TAATTAATAGCTCACATACCTTTATCACAGAGATAAGGACAAATAAAAAAAACACAGTAAGAACTAAGTGCCATCCAAGCAACACAGACTTTTTGGAGCTTTTAATCACACAAACAAAAACATTTTGAAAACAACTATATGAAGCTGCATATACTGAACTGTGCAGTCACTGAAGTTATGGTTGTACTGAATTCTCCTACATTAAACAGGATCAAACACTTGCAGCATTTACCTTGCCCCCTGCAGGACTTCTCACAGCAAAACAGAAGAGCGTGGAAGGTTTGGCATTTCCCTCTATTTTGAATTCTGCAAAAGCAGCTGCATGGCCTTCAATAGGTTGGGACACCTTCCTATCAACTGAGTACAGCTGCATTGCACCAACCACACGATTTTGCTAGAAATAAGAGGAAAGAGCAGCTTTTAGAGGTAGGATTTCAATGCTTATAGGAAGACCTATGGGACAGTGAACTAAGAAGTAATGCCCCTTATATCTCCTCAGAGCTTTAAAGGGTTAAGTTATTCCTATTTGATATTCCTGAGATTTTGATCTACAGGAAACTGTAGAGAGAGAAGAGAGAAAAAATAAAAAGGAAAAAGGAAAACAAAGAATTATAACAGTTGTTACATGAAGAAAAGTGGGATCTATGCTTCTCTGATCACTTCCATATTATAGTATTTCCAAGGAACTTACCTGTGCTGAAATTCCTATCAGTAACAACCATTTTTGGTGTTCATCTGTCCTGTAATTGATGATTTGGCAGCCTGCAAGACTTGCATGTCTGTCAAACATCTTTTGGGGTTGAGATTCTCCCTCCATGCTCCAGTGGTAGACTGCAGTCTCCGTCACCAAGGCAACCGTATTCACAGATATCCATTTCCAGAAGATCACTTCCTCTGCCATAGTGTGGGCTTTCATTTTACTTTTCATCTCAATGTTAAAGATCTGAAGTGTCTTCCCAGCTGGTAGGACAAAACCCAAGAAACATCACAGGTTGAATTACTACAATGGCCATCCTGTGGTTTGCCTATTTACAGGCACCGTTTAACCTTCTGCTCCAGTAATATCACAGAATTCATTAGTGCCCTCTCACACCCGACTAAGGCTCCTTCACTTGCATCAGAGAAAATTCCCCCCACCCTCCTCCTCAGCCCAGAAGAAAAAAGAAGTCTTCTTATGGACACTGTAGCCAACAACTGACAAATACAGATATTTTGGCTAACTACAACATTTAGAGAAGAGAGTTTGTCTACACCACACAACCAGTGCAACTTCTTAAGTAGCAGAACTGGTATACTAAGTTATATCTGTCTAGTAAATGATATTCAGTATTATTATTAGAAAGAGCAGCTCCCATTTGTGTGAATTTAGTAGCTGCTTTAGATCACTTAGTCTGAGCCCAACAGCAAGAAACTTACAACAGCTCTTGAAATAGCTGAAGACTACAGCTTCCGTCCTACTGTTGTTGGAGTTGAAGAGACTCCACACAACTAGGAGACAGACAGATTTTGTATAACAGCAATATGACAAGTGCCTATTGAAAAGGACAGAGCAAGAAGATCAGAGCATTTATGGAAAGATTTCGTGCCTGTTGTTTAGATTACCATTTCATGATAGGGGTAACTAAACAGCAGATTTAAGCTAAACTTTTGTATTTCTTTTGACCACCAGAGAAGTTAGTAAAGGTAGACTATTAAAACTAATATATTTGAGACAACTCAGTGAGCTGAGTATTCAGAGGATAAAAGAGTCTATTATTTCAGGAAATCAGAGTGACGTTTTACACGACTGGAGACAAAATTCAGCTCTTTGAAAATTGTTTTCTATTCACAAGACATCCACTCAAAATGCTTAAGTATTGCTTTGTAATCACATTAATCTCATCCACATTTCAGAAGTGTTTTCTGTGCTAGGAACATTGCAGAAGTTCTACTGCTACCTCTACAAGGCCTTAGCATAATTTATATAATGAAGTGATTATATAGGCTAACTAGGCATCAAAAGGCACAAGGCACAAGGCACAATTTCAGAGCTCCTACATGCAGCATTTATGCTGGCTCCCAAGAGCAACTGCATAAACTAACCTGAACAACTAGTTCCTAAGACAGCTTGCTAGCTCTCCTGAAGTTCTCCTGAAACCAGAGCCATTTCTGAAGGTCTTGCCAGTTGCTGTGTACAAAGTTACAGTGCAGTAAGTCCAGGCCTAACACCAGCTGAAAAGTGATCGCTGCCCAGTGTGGTCAATACGCTGCTCCCAACAATTCACCCAGCAGTAGACTGGTGCTATCAAGGGATCAGTATCAGAACTTGCACAGCACAGCCTCTCATCCAGAAGGCATGCAAGGGGTTCTTCTGGAAGAGCTCCAGTCACCATCATCCCAAACAGGATGCCAGTGTACGCATACAGAAGCTGCTTTGGAATTCAGTCTTCCTGAAAAGGAAGCAAGATATCCCTAGCTTTGAGAAATACAAGAGACCATGCACTAGAGATGAGCTCATGATACTCTAGAAATTGAAAACAGCTTTAGAAGCTTAGCCAGCCAGGTAGCACTGGATGACAGGGGCCATAATAGTATTATTCTTCAGGTGAGACAAAGGAAATGAAAAGTTGAGTGCTCTAAAGTGTAATTCAACTAGCTATAACAATTCAGCAATTTGGATAAGAGCAAGTTGAGCCTGCCATAAAGCCAGTTGTTAAGAGCAGGCACTTAGTTTGAGTCTTCAGTATACCAGAGTGCTTTCTTAGGCCAAGGTGAGACAAAAGGCCAAACTTCTTACACTTTCCTCATCTTAGGTTCTTCTATACAGATAGAGTCAAGGAAGCAGATTCATTTTTGAACACTGGCACAATAATTTACATTTCAGTTCACTGGAGCATGAAGTTTCTCCATTCTGTAAAGAATGGAAGCACCCTCAAGTGCTGCATTCTCCACTTGCTCACACAGGTTGGGGAGTACTCTTGATACAGAGCAAAGCAGGAGAATCACGGACAAAGCATAAAGTTTGATACAACAGGAGAATGCCACATGCAATCCAGAAATGAAACGTGCATACTGTATATCAACTTACCTCAATAACCATTTCATTTCTTGCTTGAGTGGGATTGTATGTTTCTTGCTCAGTAATCCCCAGATTATGAGCAACTCCCAATCATGGCACACACAGAGTATGCTACAGTTTGGACTACTGAAGTCTCAGTCAATCAGCAGGGAAAGTCTGGAGTGACAGACTAACTTAAACCATGTCTTCAGTGGAGTTTATTCTAGTTCTATTCTAGTCATCTTAGGTAACACACTTACTTTATTGCTCCTCTTTTCCCTACGAACTTTTAGTCATTGAGCTATGTGTACAGTAAAAGATGATTTTATAGTATCTGACAGATGTGCTCGGCAATGTGACATCATATACTTAACTACATCTGTTGCCTCTGCATCAGACAATGCTCCTTTTGAGCAAGCCTGACACTGACAAGAACAAAGCTAGATTGTTAAAAGCTGATGATGATCTGTTTAGTTAGTAGGTTAGTGTTAAGATATCAGTTTTGTTTTTTTTTTTTTTTTCCATATATAAAGAGTTGGATAAAATTCTGCTAGTACAGAGGATACACTTTCCTTGCTAATAAGGTTCGTTTAAAGGGGTCCAAGATCAGGAACAGTGAATTCTAGTAGATCTGGAATTGATCTTTTCATTATTACCTCTATCCATCTCCCAGTTGGGGCGGTTCTTAGCAAGACATTAGCTGAGACTGATTCAGCCAGATGCTCAAGTCAAACTTTAATAGATTACTTTTCCCCTAATGTCAATAAAAGCCTGAGCTAGAAGCCAGCTGTTACACGTTGCCACGTTCAGTGGCAGCTCCAAAAACAGTTACTTCTTGGACCCCTAAGTAATTTCACCACTACTTTACACACCAAATACCACACTTAGGCAGAAAGGCATAGCACACAGGGCATGCTAGCAGAGGTCTCTCATAAAAGTATTGCAATTGAGTTTTGTCTACCAACTGTACTACCAGTACATACACATTACATACCATTACAACACACTCACTGTTGTCCTTTACTTGGTACAGTTGATAGCCAAAGCAACCAAACAGCAACAAGCCAACAGAGAATGTTTTCACTATAATACCAGTTGAGGACGAAGAGCCCCATCTGGCTATGAAGTGAACTGACAAATAGCTACTCAAAATTCAGTACTTTTTATGAGATTAGACCATTCAGTATTACTGAACATAAAATGTCAGGACAAAGTTCACTCACCATCTGTTTAGACAAGATGCAGGAAGAAAAGTACATAGTCAGTAACAGATCAGTTATTGAGATTAAACACCAGAAGTCACTGATTTTGATTAAGGATTATCCTTAGAGCTCAGAAAGCTCAGGGTCAAGGTAAGCACCATAGGTCCCTATAGAGCAGAGGTGTCCCATCTTCAGCAACTCATGACTGCCAAACCTAAGGTGCTTTCAAGTTCAGGCTTTAGTAGCTAATGGCTGCCCTTATGCCATTTTGTTGCTATCTACTAAGCTCTTCAGAGCTACCAGAAAGGGTCAAAGGAAAGAGTAGAGCTTAAGAGTGGCTCTACACCTCCATTTACCTCTATACTAAATATGTTTATAATATCTGTTTCAAAACAGAGTGCACTAGGCATTGGTCTGGCCCTCACTGAGGATGGGCTTGGCATGGTGGCCTCCTAAGCATTTCACATCTACCAGGATGAAGCAAGCCATCCAAAGAGTACTGAAACACCCACTACCAGAAACACAGCATGAGTTTGGGCAAGAGTTCCAACTCCAATGTACATTCTTAAAAAACTTTGCACAAGCTCTAAGCCTAAGGGCCAACTTAAACAGGAATATACCTAACCAGTAGGGTTCATACTACAGGAATGAAAGGCTAACTCACCTTTCAGCGCAATTACTTTAGAAGCTGGATTCATGATGGCGCTTTCAGCAGAAATTGGACGTCTGATGGGTGTTGTTGGATCACTCATATCAATTATGACTACTTGTGCCTGCTCTCCCACTTTCTCCCTGATGCAGATGAACTTGTCAGATTCCATTGTTAGAGTGCTGAATCCAATGTTTGCTGGGTTAATGCCCAAGTTCTGGAGCTAGAAAGGAAGAAAACAGTGACTTATTACCCTTCTCATGTTGAAGGACCATTATTATGTATAAATTTCCAGAGTCTAATGCAAGACAGGTATATTGTATACTGCATATATAGAATATGCAGTGTATATTCTGGAACAGCAATTTAAAGCTCTTTGCTTTAAATCCCGTAAGTAAAGACTTACAGACACAAGTCAAAGACATAATAACTAAGTTGTGTTATTCACACTAACAGGTAAAAAAATAAAAAATAAATAAGGGGGCAAGTATTTTTTGCTCAGTTTGGTACTAATACCTAGAAGTAAGGTTTGCAGAAGACTTTGGAGCCTTACAGAAAAGTGGCAGTTGTTTGTACCACTATTTCAGTTCAGCACAGCTTTCAATGCCTTATTTTAAGAGGTGGATCTGTGTACATCTTACTTCCTCTGAGGGTCTAATTCTTACCAGCAGAAGCAAAGAGACATGTTAAAAGTGTTTAGATATCCCCTTCTCTAAGGTGGTATGCCAGCTAGCTTCAACAGCTCAGAGATTTCTACATATTTTCTCCCATCCCTCCAACTTTAAGTCCAATTTGTTTAAAAAAAAAAAAAAAAGGCATATTTTTTAATCACAGGTAATCACAGTTATTCTTAATGCAAATAAGTTGTTCTGTGCCACTGAGTGAACTGACCTAAAAGACAATTACTCCTCACTTTCATCGCTCTCGGTTAACTTTGTTTCCGTTCCTTTCCAATATCAGCTTAATAGAAATGCAGCCACCCAAAGCGAGCACCACTTTGTTTCCATTGGTGAGTCATAGGTACCTATGCAGCATGCATCACTAAGGCATGGATGCAGGATACATTTTATATAACAGTAATTGTGATAAGCCTGGACACCTCCTTTATGCCCCAGAGCATTATTTTTGCAAGCAAATGAACCGCATCAGCTTCACTGAGGCTTGAGTTTTAAGAGATTGACCTGTACAGTACAATGGGAGAAAAAAAGGAGGGGGGAACTGCCCCCAAGCAGCCAAGTACCAAGTAGCTACTAGCAGTATCATTCCTTAGACTCCTTCCTTTCTTACTAACCACCACCGCTTTTGTACAATAGACTAAACCCCAAGTGCAAGAAGTCACATGATGGAGTCATAAACGCTATTCACTGCGTTTTGATGTGGCCAATCACAGCTTGTCACAGCTCACATAGAGCCTCCATAACTTGGATATGTAGCAGATACCGGGAAGTTTTGTGTCAGAGTGGAGCCTCATGAATTGTTTCTGTCTGCAGTTTAGCTCATTACTACTGAAGAACCATTCAGCTCAGTAACTGCTAATCTTTACAAACTGGAGTTTCAGTAATGCAATACAAGCCAAACATATGCACATGTAAAGAGATGTTTATTCCCTCCCAGAAATCTCTCGCAGTAATTAATAGTCATGAGTTGACTCCTCACTTTAGAAATACTTAAGCAGAAGCTAGTTAAGTATGAAGTACACTCATGCCAAAAGATAATCGATCTTGAGTCCATCTAGTCCCTCATAAATTACAAGTTCACATCACAAGAGTAGTCAAGAGATTTAACTGAAACATAGCCAAGCTCCTAAACTCGATTTAATTAATCCAAACTCAGATAATGCTTTCAGAGTGCTGAAACAGAAACAAAGGCTCGTCAAGGACTTGTTCTGTTACTATGCTTTTATTAGACTTGCTCCTCAAGAGACAGCCACTTGAGGCTCCTTTACGGTGAGAATCTTGAGGCAATTGCCTACTTTGAGCTCAGCTTTAAGTCCAGGATTACTCCCTTCAGCATTTGGTCTACACTGAAATACCACATTTCTGTAGCAAGCTTCACCAAGAGAAACAAGACCTTGCATCAAGTTTCAGTGGTACAACTTCACTTCCAGCTTTAACCAGCAAAGCCAGTAAAGCTTTTGGAAACTATAACACTAAATGATACATCAGTAACACTGCCATCCTTGCTACTTAGGGGCAAGTCGGTCACATCTTCTAAAGGCAAAATGACAGTACTTCCTAAAGGATGTCGATGCAAATGCAGCCTTATAGTGAATGAGGACAAAGCTTTGCACTCGAGCAGCCTGAAAATACTAGCCTTCTTTCCATCAGGGGAGCAGTAAGTATCCTCTTCAGAAAACGTGGTCCTGCAATGTGGAAGCAGTAAAGAGGTATATACTGTGACTATAGATAACAGCATAGCCAGAATCCCTTTTCTACCAGGTAAAGGTGGAAACATTAGACATCATTCCTTCTTCCCTCAATAGGCATCTGTACTGCCTCAAGGAGAGAGGGTGATACCAGCCAGTACTGAAGTCCTACATAGCAGAGATTTTGCAGCTTATCTTTGTTGTAAAAAAATGGTTTTAGCCCACACTGCACCTTTGGCTAATTCAGCATAAGAATTGCTAAGCAAGCCCACACAGGTTACTTCAGAGCTCACAGCAGAGGGAAGGGCAGCAGGCTGCTCTACAAGCAGCACTGCCTAGTGCCTCCCTAAAGCCTGCTCTGTGCACTTACAGCAAAGAATTATCTGTGCCATCGGGACAAGTGGATCAGCTAACAAAGATTTTTTTGTTTCCTTGGTGCCAACTATTACTGCAGGTTGGATTAGACCACTGTCTGCCAAACCTAAGCATCTTACAGATACTGAGAACTTACTGACATGGTGAATATTAACCTGAAATATATTCCTTACTTTCTAATTTGAGTGACAACATGCAAGTCCTACTATTTAGGATAAAACACAAGGTTAATCTAAGATTTGGTAGTGATCTCTCTTACATTTCACTTCACTAGTATAGTGGCGTTTGTCAAGCAATGCAGCAGAGATGTTTTTACATCAGAGTTCTGCTCAATATCACGTTTCCAAGTGCGGTTCCCTTTCTGTGAAATGTGCATTTAAGACTGAGCCAGCACAAACCAACTCAGACACTGATGCCAACAGTCTTCAACCTAAGTCCACTTCTCTTATGGAAAGTATTTAAGTTTAGCTTACATCTGACACCCAAATACTTGGGACTTACTATCAGCTAAGTGCTGGAGTCAGAGTAATAGAATTCAAAACCCCTCCACACTTCAGTAAGAGACCCTATGGCAGTTCAGGGCCATTCAGGAGCTAGCATAAGTGTCTTCTGAGGTAGTCTATTTGGCTTTCTTAAAGCCTATTCTAGAAAAGAAGAAGGCTTAGACAGAGGCCATATGTATCCAGATTTTAAACCCTGCCTGCTAGGAGCTCTGTGAGCACATACATCATACAAAGTGCAATATAAAACAAGAATGCAATACAGTTTAGCTCTGAATATTATTTTGCTTGTGTGGCTATATAAAGTTAAGTCACAAGCTCAGCAAGGAAGCTTGTATAGTTGTGGGACATCTCCCAATCCCCTCCATGCCAATCTCCCACTGCAGCTCTTCTCCTGTCTTGGCAGGTGAGGGACATTAAGACCATGTACAAGAGCTGAAGTCCTCTGGCTCGTGGATTTTAGGTGTAGTTTCAGCCACACATTCATCCTGAAAGATGTACTGAAATCTGTTCCTCTGTGTTAAGTGATCACGACTAAGCCACTGATTCAATGAGCCTCCCTATCACATGTAGGGCCCTTTTCAATCCAGTGAGCAAATATGGTCTCTTCAACAGCAAGTAGCTGAATTAAGGCACAATATTTAGCCCTGTCTAAGTCCAAAAGGAGTTATTTCCAAATTGAAAATATCCAAGTGCTTTTAAGTCCACATGTCTCGCCAAAACAAACCCATGAAAACCATTATAGTTCGGGTCAGGATTATTGCACAACAAATAGTAATTCTTGACAAGAACTCCCAAGCAGAGAGTATTCAAGTAAGATGAAAGTAGTTTTTGTCCAGAACAGACATAAATTTACATCCCTTTATGCTTAAAAACAGGATACTCTAGCTTCTCAGTGCTGCACCACCATGCATAGATTTACACATCAAAAGCTTAAGCCATGCTCGTAACTTTTCAAATTATTTGTGCTTAAAGGCCCATGCTCTTTTTTATCAGAGTTTAGAACATATTTTACAGATTCATGCATCATTTGTCTAAGGGCTGAAGCACCTAACCTAGGAACCTGAGACGTTAGGTAGCCACCTTCTTTCTCTGCAGGTTAGCAGAGATGTTTGTTAGTGAAAAATAAAAGAGGAAAAAAAAAAGAAACAAACACCCTCAAAAGTGTATGAAGACAAGCTTCTAAGAGTAAAGCTATGACTAAGTAAAGAAAAAAAAAAACTATTTTAATCAAGAGCGCCATTAAATTCCAGTTATATTACTTTCATTTTATGTATCAGCATATACTTTGTCATTTAAAAAAAAAAAATTCTCATGTCAGCTACAAACCCACTGGAAGAGTTCAGTCTGATGAATGCAAGTTATTACTCACTGTTCCCACAGAAGTACTGAATTAAGCACTGTAGTGTAGTCAGGTTCCTAAATAGCAGTTTATCACTACAGCAGGGCGAGCCTAGTTTGCCTCTGGTACAGGTAGTCAGTCACTAGACACAGAGATAAAATACAAGCTCTTACTTTATTCCTCCTCACCCACCACCTCTTGCTCTAAAACTTGATTTAACTTTATTAGGAGAGCGAGATGCACTTCTTTTTGGATTCTGAAAGACTAACTACTGATGCATCTGATCTGAAAACAGTTCTTCAGTTGCATTGAACGGAGCTAAACAGAGAGACTTGAGTTTGTTCTCAGCTTGATCACCTTGTTTTACTACTGTTAATCTCCTTTTTCAGCTTATATGATCATGGAGGAGCTCGATACCTAAGCTACAGTAACTTCAAATATAATTTGCACTAGAGCTGGCAGAGGCACAGGCTTAAGAGCTAGAGTCACTCAGAAGGACAAGCAACACATGAAGCGAGCCTCACAACAAGTGTAAACAGTCTACGCATCCCTATCCTCCTCCAGTCTCACATGGACCAAGATTGCTGTTTCATTTCACACTTGTTTATCCACTTACAGCTAGAAACAGCAGGAGAGAAGAGT